GTTATCCAGATATAAATTGTTCAAGAACTGTAGGTTGATAGATTCTGGAAATATTTGTCCTCGCAATTTATTATCCGATAATTTTAGTAAATGTAGAAAAAAGCATCCCATAACTAATTCCTGCAGAATTGTGCCTGACAAATTATTGTTGGACAAGTCTATATACCTTATAGATTTTAAGTCATCGAAACTGGAAGGTACACAACCGTCAAACATATTTGTTGACATGTTTAATGCAAATAGGTTTGGAAAAATTGAAGTCATATTAGTTGGAACATGTCCATTGAACTTGTTATTAGATACATCAAAATTCTCCATGTTGGGATTGATGCTTGTTGGCAACTTGAGAGGTCCTGTAAAAGCATTATCCATCAGGTATAATCCCTTAAGTCTTGTGTTGTTCTCCAACAACCAAGTTGGAAAATTCCATCCTATGCTGTTATTTGAGAGATGAAGAATTCTCAAATTGAATTGATAGTAGAGGAAGCTGGGTAGTGATGGACAACCTCTTGAGTTTAGCATACTAAAAACCTCTAGATGAAAATTGGGAACCAAATTTCCCAACTCGTCATTTATTATTTCATTGTTTTCCAAAAATAAAAAATTAAAGCTGGAATGATTAAAGAATGCCTTGAAAGAAATTGGAACTTGAAAGTTGTTACTTGAAATGGAGATATATTCAAGCGATGTGAGTTTCGTAAGTGGAGAGGAGGCAATATTTCTGGTGAAAGTATTGTGTAAGAGTTCAACCAATCTAAGAGATGTCATGTTTGCAACACATGAAGGAAGTATTCCTTCATACTCATTCCAACTAAGATCTAACTCTTGGAGGTTTTTAAGTTCACACAACCCTGCTAATCAAAGGAATAAAATTAGCACTTCAAAACCCACCAATGAAATAGGGAATATCAGGGCTTTGCTTATAAAAAGAAAGCAAATTTTTTGTCTCCAAACTTACTTTCAAGTAAGAAAGTTTCTTAACATGCCCCGCAAGATGGAACCCCAAATCTTAACATTAAAAAATTATTTTAACAATTACCGATTTTTGAGTGAGTCTATACATACAGGGGAATTCCACTGAAACAGTATAGAAATTCAAAACAAATGTAGTTGCTATGAGTAAAGAAAAAGTATAAATAGTAAATGAAAAAACAAAGAACTGTCACATCATCATTTTTAAAAATCCTGTAGTTTAACCCTGAAAATTTCCTCTACGTTTTGCATAAATCATTATTTTTTATCAATTATTCTTCATAGACCAATATTTGGTCATTGTTGGTATATCTTCACCAACCAAATATTGGTTGTTGAAATATAGTAATTTTTATTTACTACTTTCACTAACCAACATTTGGTCGCAAAAGGATGCAAATTAACCAACTTTTTTTAAACCTACTTCGAGCCTGTTACCGACCATTGTTTTTATCGTTGAATAATATGATTCAGCGACCACTTGTCATTGGTCATTAAAGATATTCACTGACTAATTAGTGACCATAATATTTTAGTAAAGATCTTTAGCGAATATTGCCTTTACCTAGCAATTTTATTTGTCCCTGGAGACCTTATTTTTTGCAAGAGCTTAGAGAACAAATTCATAGTAAGTATCCCTAAATGGATTGGCTATCTATTGAGCGTAGCATTATTCTACTTTGAGGCAACAATCTTGAAGCCATAATTCCTTACCAACAATACCGAATAAGGCTTTATATGATAGATCTATTTTATAATAGCCTCAATGGTTAGATACCGCACTGTTTGGGTAACATAACACTAGAGCTAATCAAGATGAAGTCTAGAATGGTTCGAGGGGATACCTTTTCTTCAGTAGTCACATTTAGGTCATACATGGATAGGATTGAGTCTGAAAGGGCCTATCATGTGTCTCTCCAAAAAATAGAAGAATTCGGATTCACTATTGGGAAAATTACAATATTACAACAAAGAAAAAAACCGTATTCTTATTAGTGTAGCTATCCTCAACCACATGTCAAGAATTGATCTATCTTCTAATAAATTATATGGTGATATTTTAGAGGAACTTGGAGAGTTAAGGGAGATCCGTGCACTAAACTTGTCCCACAACAATCCTAGTGGAACAAATCCAGCAACATACTCAAATCTACATCAAGTCGAGAGTTTGGATATCTGCTATAACAACTTAGGAGAGACAATCCTCTTGGACTGGTCAACTTAAACTCTTTGCAAGACGTCAGTGTGGCATATTACTGTTGGAATTTAATGATTTTTATAGATAAGATTTAGTTATTTTATTAAGTATGAATTAGAAAGGTCTCCAGTTGTGATATAATTAGTCACGACATTTCAAATGCAAAGTATGCATATTGAATACTAATGATTTTTCAGATCGTGTGACTAAAAAAATGTGCATAATAAAAAGTCATGGCCTTTTAATAGGGAGCGATCTAGACTATTAGATCATGACACAATCTAAAAAAGTGTGATCTAATTATCAAAGATTAATTTATATCAAATTGTGCACGTTTTAAGAAATCCAATTATAAAACTGAATTCAATTTTCTTCACTCCAAATCAATTTAAAATAATTGATTTCTAGTTCGTTCTTTCTCCAAACTCCATCAAAATAATTCTAAATTATTTTTGAGTTCATGTTTGATATTTTGAATCAATATCATCCAGCCTAGAAGAGTATAGTCAAGTTTTAGTTCGTCTAATAAAATTAATATTATACTCTATTAATTTGGAAGAAGAGTTGGATCTTGAGAGACAAGATCCATTTGATCATGTTAGCACCATTGTAGGGGTGAAACATTTCTTAATAAGATTTTCAATCACATAACTCGCTTTATTTTATCTTCTTCGAATTTTTGCATATTTTCATGGGCATATCTTTGTTTCAGTAAGTCGAAACCGATTATGCCGTATCTGCATGCACGTTTTTAATTATGCTCCAAATTTTTGAACAATCTCAAGACTGATGTTTTATATTCTATTTTTGTATTTAGAATATGAAATGTTATATTTCAAATGCATTCCTGGTATGCTTATATAATTTCCATTATGTTTAATGTTCTGCATGAATCAACGATTAAATTCTGTTTAGATAAAATATTTAAATGTAGCATCCCATTTCTGAAATTCAGCAAAATTTGAATTCTATGATAATATTTCATTTGTGTATACGCATTGAACTGGTGTTGCAATAACTCAAAACTTTATGAAGAAATTAAAATTGCAATCTGAGATTCTGAGTACTTAAAATGATCACATATACATGCATATTCTAAAACTTAGAGCATATTTGATACTGAGTTGGGAAAAAGTCATAAGTTCAATTCCTGATGCATGCAATTGGAAGGTTTGGTTAAATTGTTACTCACAGAAGCATTCGACTTTGGCTTTGGAGCAAGTGACATGAGCTATGTTTACCATGAATGTTACATTCAATGCATATACATAGCCAAATGTATGTAAATCGGAAACTTCAAGTTTATGCATGCATTATTCTAATTCCTTCAGTTTGCATGTAACTGATGTGAGTGAATGAAAAAAATAAAAATAAATAAAAATAAAAATACAAGAAAAATTGAAGTATCTCACTAGGTTTGAAGGGAAATAAGAAAAAGTTGACGATCTGACACCAAATGCCCGTTTCAGCCCAATTTCTTTGCCCAAAATGCATTTTGAAATAGTATTTTGATGGGTAATGTGTGGTTAAAAAAGATGAAAAAGTTTTAGATTTATATGTAATATTATTTTATTGAAGAATGTGGCTAAAAATAAGAAAGAAAAATGTATTGTGGAAATAATGAAGACCAAACAATGACGGTATCATCGTCTTCTGAGCTAAGAACTTTAGTATCTCAGTTTCTTGATTTTTTTTTCCTTTGATTTTTGTCTCCCTTTGTTATCTAATTTTTTCCCTAATTTTATATGATGAAACTGGCCAAAACATGGTCAATTTCAAGGTGGAAGAATTTTGATAATTGTACTTCAAAAAGTAGTCAGAACGGATCAAGAAAATTTGAAAAAATAACAAAATCCAACAACCAGCCAGAAAGGCCAGACAGCCAAAAAAAAAAAAAAAAAAAAAAAATGGTCTAGGGTCGACCTTGGTCCGCCCTTGAGTTTCAGAAAACTGAAATTCGTTCATTTGATACCCATTTTTGGCAAAATATATCTTGGAATAGTGATTAAAAAATATAGACTAATTTTGAATTTACGTGTAAAATTAGTGTGGTTGACAATAAGTTTTGGAAAAAATAAGGTTAAAACAGGGGCTAAGTTTTGATTAGAAATTTATACTAATTTTCAGCAATTAGCTCCCTAGATATTTAAATTTCAAAAATCTTCGGTATTAGTCCCCAAAACTTCATAATCATTAGAAATTTGTCCATCTTAAGTTCCAAAAGTAGGTAATTTGGTCCTCGAACTTTCTAATTGTCGAATTTAACTCCCAAATCTTATAAATTTCTTCTAAATGATCTTTCAATTCTTCTCATCAATCATTTGCATTCTGGTTAATCTTCAATCGCTCCAAATAAACTCCATTTAAGCTTCAAAAAGTCATTTTCATGCTAATTGTATCAAAGTTAGAATTTTTCCTACAATTAATATAATTTACACAAAATTAAGTACATATCTACATAATTATCAATAAATAAGCAAGTTTAGAAGTCAACATAAATGCATAAAATACACCTTTCAAGTAGCGCACACAAAAGTTTGAGAACACGAAAATCACCAACAATCTTTTAGTTCATGTTGATTTACTCATGACTGCAAAACTTTTTTCAAAAGACCCAAGTGGTCTTATTTATACAATAAAATTGAATCTTATTCCAAAAGGAAATTTTAGAATGCCACAGTAGATTCCTGATCTACTATTAAAAAAATAATAATAAATAAAATTATGCTACCATAAGCAAAACTTTAATCAACGGAAACAATGAAAAATTATTATAAAGTAATAAAATCTAAAAACCATAAAATACTTGATAATTTCAATATGTAAACTGCGTCAATTACATTCAAAACAAATGAAAATGTATTATATATATATAAGCAGTTGTTTACAATTAATCAATGGCCAACGATTTTTCATGCAAAATGATAACGTTCTTTCACAGAGCATTAGTGACAAAGGTACGAATTACAGGTTTTGCTTCAAACTAAAAACTTGTTTATATCCTTCAGTGACATTATACGAAAGAGGAAACCACAAGGCATGGATAGAAAGCTTCGCACTGAGAGCAAACAATGGACCATAATTCACGAAATAGATGTAAGTCTTTAAGTTTTGCTTCCCATGTCGTCATACCAGAAGGCATGGAGAGAAAGTCGAAACAAACGTTTACCACTCTTAAAATGGACAATGAAAATCTTCTCATGTTTGAAAAAAGTTGTAGTTGTAGACAAATGGAGTCCTTGATGGGTGTGGAGGATTTTAGAATTTCTTTAATTTGCACAAAGAAAATGTTTGGAATGTAAAAAAAAAAAATGTGCCTTCTTCCTCCAACTGTCAATCAACCAATTATTTGATTGTAATCAAGAATTTAAATATCTTATTATTAGATGAAAGTTTATATGCCTTAGTTACTATTATTTGGAATTTAAGGAATGTAACTTGTCTGTGCATTAATTATGCTGTAACTGGGAATTTTGTTAACAGTGCTTACGAAGGAAAAAAAAACCATGAAGGCACTTTTGTTTAGTTATAAATATGTGTACCTTTTTTTACCTGCAAAAAAAAAAAAAAAAAAAAAAAAAAAAAAAAAAAAAAAAAAAAAAAAAAAAAAAAAAAAAAAAAAAAAAAAAAAAAAAAAAAAAAAAAAAGTTCCAAGATTCGTATATTGTCATCAGTTTATAGTGTCTAATAATTGGACAATTTGGTCAAATACACCACGCAAAGAATTCTAGTAAAAGGAAAAAACACATACACCAACTCCACCTATATATAAGAATTTTGCAACAGTGTTTATTTAAAAAAGGGAAAAATCTGTCGATTGACAAGAAACATGGAAATTTTTGGCTATTTTTATTGGTTATGTTTTCAGTTTCACTACACAGCAAATGATATTGTTTAGGGAGTTTGGAGGAAGAGTAAATTGCTATTTTGCTGCTCAAAGCAATCAGACTTCCCATATGGAAAAACCTTGTCGTCACTGGTTGGTAATGAGACTGCATCTGACTATCGTAATTGGTGTGTGGTTCAATGCAGCAATGCGACTGAGAGAGTGATCAATCTGTGCAACACCCCGATTTTCTTGCTATTTTTCATATGGGCCTAAATCTAATATTGATCATTTAGCAAATGAAATAGTCCATGTTTAGTTCTGTCGCCAGAATGAAGTCCAAAAGTTCAATTGATAAATGCGATCTACTTATTTGCATAAATGATTTATATTAGTTGCAAGTACTTTTTAAAATTTGTCATGTAAGTTATTTGGGTCAAATATTTCAATATTTTGGAAGTATCAATATTATACCTGTTTTTTAGTTTGTGTTAAATAAAATAAATTGGGCCCACGAAAAAAAAATTTTGAACTATTTATATCCGAGTTATCTTGATAGAAAGAAAAGTAATTTAAATCATATATTTCATTAATATAAAAATAATAAAAAGATAAACTTTCATTTGAATTCTGTACGATTACTGGAATTTGAAACGGAATATTTTGATATAATAAGTTAAACATGATTAATTCGTAATAATTAATTTAATTAATCCCCATATAACTCTTTTATTTACATCTCATACATTTGTAAATAGATGACCAAACTGAAAAGTCATTGACCTACTTGGAGTTATGTCCGAATTTTATATATATGGTTAGAGTTTTTCTTTTAGAATATAAAACTTCTTTTC